TTCCTCCAGCTTTTCTGGAAATGGGGAAAATAATGCAAAAGGCTTACAAATGTTAAAGCTTTAGAACTATGGCCTTCTATTTCAAACAGTCAACCTCTCCATTGCTAGCCAGAAATCTGAGAAGTGAACACTAATGTCAACTGGTGTACCCCTTTAGAAAAGCAGTTTAGCAACATAAAGCACGCACATTCTTTGATGCAGTAACCTACAGTTAGGAATCTGACTCACAGTTCTATTCAGAAAACTGTGGAGAAGATTCCAAGGACAGTCACTGAGATGTTGAAACTATGAAAGAGAGAAATACAGAAAACAACTCAAACACTGAGTAACTGAGAAACTTCTCCACAGATCTTAGGCTACCCAGATGATGGAAATACAATGTTGCTGTTAAAATTAAAGAGTTATATACCTCCTGATATGGAAAGATCAAAAAGATATAATTTTTTGTTTATTTTTTGAGACAGGGTTTTTTATGTAGCCCTAGCTGTCCTGGGCTCTGTAGACAAGGGTGGCCTCAAACTCACGGAGACCCCCCACCTCTGCCTCCTGAGTGCTGGGATTAAAAGTGTGCTTTCAAAAAGATACTTTAAGTTTAAAACTGAACCACAAGATATCTTATCTTTAAAAAAAAAAATATGTGGTGTGCTAGAGCCAGATCAAACCACATTGTGATGGTCAATTGTTAAGTTCTTGAGACTTGTGGGATGAGACCTTGTTTTAAATATAACCTTAAAAATTCTATCTGTATCCTTGCAGTTCAATGACTTATACTAAAATCAAATATAACAAATAGCCATGCTTATTAATTTCCTAATTCATTTTATCACATTTTACTATAAGCTATGCTCTAGAGTTGCTGTGTATGCATATATGTACATATCTATAGTGTAAGTATGGAGAAATGTCAGTCTGTGTTCAATTTTACACAAATTCAATGTTGGTGGTTAGAAATTGATTATAGTAGAAATACTTATACAACAGAAACAAAGCTAACACTTGCTTCACCCTTTCTTGGCAGTCCAGACTTTGTAAAATGCTAAGTATATAATGCAAATTAAATTTAGCTGTTATTTATAAAACAGGTAAAAATGCAGAAATGTCCTCCCTGTGTTCAGAAACTATTACCTAGTTCAGAAAAAAAGTTACTCACTTCACTGAAAAATCAGCGAAGTTCCAACATGTTTCTTTTGTTTCCTTTTGTTCTTATTCCTAGCATTAATAGAAAATAGACCTAGCATCCATATCAGAACTACATTTATTTGGTAATTTCAATCTCTACTTGGTTATGAGTATAAGGGTCCTGCCAAGACTACCAAAAGCATTCTGTGGGCCACAAATGGCCAAAAGTAATTCATAGTGAAGAATTCCATGTTAGTATCTGTGAGCTGGGTGCTACATTATCCCCCATATCAGTAAAATTTATAATACACAAATGCAATTTATAGATACATTTACCCCAGATAACTAACTGTATGCTTATCAACACAGCAAATCACAGTCTATACATATGTATAGTAAATAATTTGGTAAAGACAAAAAAAGTTATTAGTAGCAATTGTTTCTAGGAAAAGTAATTTGAAAGGAGAAAGAACACATGTTCTTCCATTTACTACTTCCCATGTTTGGAGTATAAAGTAAGGGCAGGAGGGGTATTTTTCTCATTACTAGAATATACATAAGCTAGACAGTGGTGGCACATGCCTTTAATCTCAACCCTTTGGAGGCAGAGGCAGGGAGATCTCTGTGAGTTCAAGGTCAGACTGGTCGACAGAATGAGAGAATGAGTTCTAGGACAGCCTGGACTACAGAGAAACTCGGTCTTGAAAGACAAAGAAAAAAAGAAGCATATATAAAGCATAGTCTTCTTAATATCATTAAACATATGTTGGTGTTATTAAACCTTTTAAAATTACTGAGGTAAACAGAATGTCACCACGCTTATATGTGGGAAGCAGCTTTTCAAATCCCACTGTTTTTCCTTTTCCCAAATGAAAAGTGGAAAAGCAACAGATGTATTCATAGGTATTAGATTTTTCTGAAGCCAAACCCTCCTATGTTTGTTTGTTTGGTTGGTTGGTTGGTTGGCTTTACGGCTGTTGCTTTGTTTTGTTTGCAGTGCCTGGGGTTTCAGCCATGCTAAGGCCATGCTCCATCACAGCCCCATACTGTCTCATCTTAAACCCAGCACAACAGCATCAGCGAATAATATACGCTAAATGATGTACACGCCACCCATCAAGTCCCCAGATTCCAGCGACTTCCAAGTCACCCTTACCTTCAAAGTTCCGAGTAAGATCTTGCTCAGTCTCATCAAATGCTGCTTCTCGGACATCGTGGAAGAAGGCTTTGAGGTAATTCAGAGCATCTTTCATCTGTGCATCCTCACTGATGATGAGAGCGTCGTTGTATTTCTGTTTCGAATGAAAGGTGAGTCTCAGTACATTTCCAAGTCCCCGAGTTCACTACACCCAAGTTCAACAGGCTGTATTTAGCACAAAATCAGTTTCAAGAAAAGCTTTCTCAAACTGCACAGCTGAGGTTTTAGAGGTGAATGCCCTTAGTGGGTCTATAATTAAAAACCTGTGAACCAAAAGCTGTTTGTTTTTTTTTTTTGTTTGTTTGTTTGTTTGTTTCAGTTAGCTAGAAATATTAGTTAGGTATATTCACTTTGTATTGTAAAATTCCACCTTGGTAGAGAAGGAAAAACAGTGTATCATAAGAAACAATAGTAAAAGCAAGTCAGCTTTGACATTACGCCGCATTGTGGTGCTGACATTCCCCTTAAATTCCGACATCATAACTAAATCGTACATGGACCTTTCAGAACGATGGCCCTTACCACCTATGGCAAAAGTCCATTAAGCATTAAAATTCTGCAAACGCATGCTATGGAACAAGCCTTTAAATATTTCCCATAGCCTAACAACAGAGTGACAGTTGTTACTGCTATTCCGTTCTTCTGTGTTAACCAGAGCCCCCAGGGATCTAAGTATGTGGCTTTAACAAAGTAAAGACCACACAGGCTTCAGGATGTGGTAACAGGAACCACTTCTTGAAGTCAGAGATGGTGGTTTCCAATCATGTGTTTCATCATCACCCAATTTTCCCCGACCACATTAATAAAGCAAGGCTGGAGGCTTGACATAGGCCTCTGGGCCTCTGTTCCAGTTTTGTAGACATGCTGTTAAGTTTCAGAAAACAAGGTTGGTGATGACTTTATGGAAAGTTCCTAATTAAGCTCTTGGCTAGGATGAGAAGCTAATGTTCTCTCAGCTGCCACAGTGCAGATCCCAGGAGATGCAGTGACCAAAGAATGCCAATGTACCCTCAAGTGTGACGTGTACAGAAAAAGCACTCTGCAAATCCTGCTTTAATAAATAAATAAATAAATAAATAAATAAATAAATAAATAAATAAATAAATAAATAAATAAATAAATAAATAAATAAATAAATAAATAAATAAATAAATAAATAAATAAATAAATAAATAAATAAATAAATAAATAAATAAATAAGATTGGTCCTGGCATGCCTCATCCTCTAATTTTCTTTCTTATTCATTATAAATAGGATATTTATCCTGAAGTAGACTGCGTTTTCAGCTGTATTGTGTAAGTAAGATGATTATTTACTAAATGACCCAAAGTCAAAGTTTTTTACATTCATAATTGCATTTAATTTTTTCTAATTTCATGAGGTCAATATTTCATTTTAAAAAGAGGAAACAGGTTCAGAAGGACCGAGTAAGGGGATGGAGAGATGGCTCAGCAGTTAGGTTATTGCAGAGGACCCCAGTTCAGTTCCCAGACATCAGGTAGGGTGGCTTCCAACCACCTGTATATCCAGTTCCAGGGGATTCAATGCTCTCTTCTGGCCCCTGGGAGCAACAGCACTCGTCCCACACAGTCATATGCACATACACATAATTTTTAAATAAATCTTTTACAAATGGAAAACTAGGTAATTTACCCAAAGTCACACAATGTGGGTATGGCAAGAATTCAAACTCAGCTATGTAGTGTCTGAGCTCTACAAGCTTAAGGGACTGACAGTCAAAGTAATTCAGAAATTAAAAAAAAAAAAAAAAAAACCCGGGCTGGGGAGATGGCCCAGAGGTTAAGAGCACTGTCTGCTCTTCCAGAGGTCCTGAGTTCAATTCCCAGCAACCATATGGTGGCTCACAACCATCTATAATGAGATCTGGTGCCCTTTTCTGGTGTGCAGGCAAAACACTGTAAGTAAATCTTAAAAAAATAAAATAAAAAAACACAACTTTGCCTTTAAAACCAAAGACACCATTAGAATAGTAGGCCTCAAGAGCTTCATCGGAGACAGGTATATAAAAATGGGAGAAATCTACCCAACAAAGCCTTTCTGCTTTCCTATGAGGTCAGAGACCTCACCTCAGAGAAGCACTCAGCACCAACCACTCAGCAGAGCACAGAGATGTTTGTCCTGGATCATCTGTGTGCACAGCTGGAGCTAACTCTAGCTGCTTGATTCAAACATGCAGGGCCCACAGTGATTCAGACTCTGAGGAGATGCCAGCACAGGGAGAAGGTGAAGTGGGAACGGCCACAGCAGTCTGGTCTACTAGTTTAGTCTCCTGGACTTCTTGAGACAATCACAGTACAGCAAAATCCAAAGACCAGAATTGCACTTATGCGTTAAACGTTTCCCCTCACCCATTCATTTTCATAATGTAGAACAAAGGGCTGGTACCCAACAGGTGGTAGTGTCGAGCTTTTCCCTGCCTCCACCCCACAGACAGGGTCTCAGTATGTAGCCCAGGCTGGCCTCAGACTCAGAACCTTACAGATGGTGCCATCACACCCAGTTCACAATGAGATGCTTTCCCAGTTCCTGAACAAATGAGGTGGCTACCAACAGTTACTCGATGTGAGGAGGTGGGAAAGTGTTCTATGCTACTAGGAAATGAGTTATCAGCAGGACTTGGGCAGTCGGAAGTGTGGATGTTAGCTACAGTGAGAGGAATGATAAAGAGAACGTGACACAATTCTATCCCCGTCGGTCCATTCATCACTTTAGTCAGACCATGTCATCCTGCTCCTGGGTGACCCATGTCCCTCCTAACTGGTGTTTTTACCACCTGCCTGTTTTCTCAGTCCATTCCCTACCAAGTAGCTACAGAGAAGTTCCGAAAACTGTGAGGAGAGAGCATGCTACCCCACTACTTCAGGGCCTTTAATAGATTCACTGCCTGAACTCCTCTCCCAGCGCTGTCCTTCCATACTGTTTAAGTGTCTTCAGGATGCTCATGTGGCAAAAGGCTAGTCCCCAGTGTGGTGAGGTTAGGAGATGGTGACACTCTCAAGAGCTGAGTTCAGTGAGAGGATGTTAGGTAATTGGGGACATTGCTCTTGGACGGGATCAATGCAGATCTAATGGAGTCCCAGTGGTGATATACACCTTGGGAGGAGGAGGCAGGAAGTTCCCAGCTCAAGGTTAGCCTGCACTGTATGCAGAGATTCTGTCTCAAAAGAAGAAAAGAGCCGGGCGGTGGTGGCACGCGCCTTTAGCCCCAGCACTTTGGAGGCAGGGGCAGGTGGATCTCTGTGAGTTCGAGACCAGCCTGGTCTATAAGAGCTGGTTCCAGGACAGGTTCCAAAGCCACAGAGAAACCTTGTCTCAAAAATAAAAGAAAGAAAGAAAGAAAGAAAGAAAGAAAGAAAGAAAGAAAGAAAGAAAGAAAGAAAGAAAGAAGGAGGGAAGGAAGAAAGTAAATTTAGAAGATGATTTAAAAAGACTATTTTTCAGATATGTATTTCCAGATGGATCAACTTTGGGTTTAGAAAGAAAATAAAGCAAAAGAGAATGAAAGAATTCTTATAAGGTACCTAAATAACCAGGAATTAAGGAAGTGTATATATGAGCCAGATATGGTGGTTCATGCTAGCAATCCCAGGACTCAGGAGGCTGAAGAAAGAGGACTCCGCAAGTTCAAAGCCAGCCTACTCACATAGCAAGTTTCAGGCCAACCAGGGATACAAAAAGAGACCTTGTCTCAGAAACGGGAGCTAGAGAGACAGCTCAGTGGTTAAGAGCACCAGCTATTCTTCCAGAGAATATGGGTTCAGTTCCCTGCAGATGTGCAGCCCACAACTGTCTGTAACTCTAGTTCCAATGTAACTTACATATGTGGTGCACTTACATACATGCAGACAAAAACACAGAAAAATAAAAATAAATCTTTTTAAAAGGGACTGGAGAAAAGAAAGGTGGAAAAAGGATGAAGAGATAAAGAAGATATATAGAGAGGGTAGAAACACGTGTGAATAAATGAGAATAAGTCAGTTCACATCTGGATAAAATCTCACCATTAAACTGAAAAGATACTAATGAGAAAGTAGAAGGGACACACACACAAAAAATGAGATTTATCTCACTGTGATTTAGCACAGACTTACCTAGTTCCTCCGAGACATTCTTTGCCAGTTTCTCTGTCTCCCTCATCAGCTGAGATATGATGGACTTAAATGTGTTTGTAGTCCGTGATTCCACTTTCCTAAAAACTAGGGTCAAAGGAACTTAAGTAGTTTGAAGGAAGCACAGGTCAAACACGGCCATTTCCAAACCCTTCTCTGCCCTTGTTACAACCTCTGAAAAGCCACAAGCTCCAAGCTCACTAGTAGGTGGCCCAAATCACAACAAATACTTAAAAGCCTTGAAACAGCTTCCTGCCTGAGTCTAATGTCTGTCCTGGCCTAGGAGTAATCTAACTCTCAGTTTAGCTTTCCTGGTGCCTCTACTCACAGGTCTGGCAGCCCTCTCCCCCCCGCCCCCTGCCCCGGTTTCTGCACATGCCACACTCCAGCCCCCGTTTCCCTGCTTTCCTTTTCTCCTTCTCTGCACCTTCTAGCCCCCAAGAGTGTTCCCATTGGTCTTACTATTCACATTTGTGTACTTTTGGCAGAAAAAGAACTGCCTGTCAGCCGGGCGTTGGTGGCACACGCCTTTAATCCCAGCACTCGGGAGGCAGAGGCAGGGGGATCATTGTGAGTTCGAGACCAGCCTGGTCTACAAGAGCTAGTTCCAGGACAGCCTCCAAAGCCACAGAGAAACCCTGTCTCAAAAAACAAAAACAATAAAACAAAAAAAAACAAAAAACAAAAAACAACTGGGGCTGGAGAGATGGCTCAGAGGTTAAGAGCACCTGCTGCTCTTCCAGAGGCCCTGAGTTCAATTCCCAGCAACCACATGGTGGCTCACAACCATCCGTTATGAGATCTGGTGCCCTCTTCTGATGTGCAGATAAACATGGAAGCAGAATGTTGTATACATAATAGATAAATAAAATCTTAAAAAAAAAAGAACTGCCTGTCACATGCCATGCTCTGGTGATAGAGAGTTGACAAGAACTTCCCAATGCTGCACCGGAGGCTGATTCTTGGATGAAAAAAGGGTGTGCTCCTAAACTCACCCATCAGAGTCCCGCAATGCAGGTGCAGGCAAGGCCTCACAGAGCAAGGGGAAGGAAAGCAGTCTCTCTGGGGAGGCTGCTGCAAGATAAGCACAGGAAGGAGAAAGGCAGGAACAGGAGAAGCAGCGTACAAAGCACAGATTAGTGCAGAGTCAGGGAAAGCAGCGTAGCCTTCACAAGACTTGGAAGTAGGAAAAACTCAAAGGGCTCAAATTATAGAGAAATTCACGAGTGTTGCTAAAACTGGGGGGCTTCTTCATGCTGTCCATGGGGCACTCTCCAAAGTGAACAGGGCTGGGACCTCCCATTCCACTACACCCACTTGGTCACTGACTCAGGGCTCAGGCCAGGATGAGGCCTCGGATGTAACTGCTGTACCTCCCTGCCTACAAGGCTAGTTAATCATTAGTAATCTGCTAGGGAATCTCATTTGGAAAACCTGTTCTGGTCTTTTGGTGATAGCTATTATGATTCAGATCACTCCAACTATAATCCTCAGATACTTACAGGAACTAGATGACCCCATAGTACCTGCCTAGGGCATGGAACACAGAGGCCTGACCCAGCCCAGTGGCTTTCAACCCTCTTAAATGTTCTCATTTCCTCCTTCACTCTCTTGCTGGTGCTTGTGCAAGGGTTTTGGAGACAAAGAGCAAGAATGTTTGTCCCTTTCAGGCTACTTCTGAGACTCATGCATCACTCAAGAGGTCAATTAGGGAGAAAGAGGAAATATGACTGTTTGTGAAGTGTGGAGTTAAAATGCTTTTGCCAGCTGGGCAGTGGTGGCACACACCTTTAGTCCCAGCACTCAGGAGGCAGAGGCAGGTGGATCTCTGGGAGTTCAAGACCAGCCTGGTCTACAAGAGCTAGTTCCAAGACAACCTCCAAAGCCACAACCTGTCTCTAACAAACAAACAAAAGAAATAAAGAAAAGAAATGCTTTTGCACAGAAACAGCTGACCTGAACAAGGGGGAGATCAG